GAAAGGGAAAGGAGATTTTGTAAGCCGCTCCGAGACTCTGAGTGAAGGGCGGGGTATAAATCCAATCTCCTCTTCTTCTAGAGCTTGGCTTCTGTGCGAGTTCTGCCCTGCATAGTTGTGGTGTCCCTGTCTTAACTCTGCCCTCATTTCATTGCTTTGGTAATGTGTGCTTAATAAACGGTCTCTCATTTACTCTGCCTGGATCCTTCAGACCCTCTGGTGAAGCCCCAGAACCAGTGTGGGGTGGCAGCCCGTTGCAGCCCTCGCCTGCTCCAGGCCCAAAGGCAGCAGGAGGAAAAGGGGTGCGAGTGCGCCCATCTGGGGCAAACCCTGCACGGACAGCCCTGCCCCTTCCCACAACAGGCACCCGAGACCCGTTTCGGTTCAAAGGGATTGCAGTTTCCCTTTAAAACAGCAGGGAAAGACAGCTGGAGACTGAAGGGGCCCTGGGTGAGGATGGCACAGGGCAGAGACCACAGCTGCCCCAGCTAAGCTTACGCTTTCAGACCTGCCCAGCCTACGGTAGTCATTGTTTGTTCAGGGAAGATAGATATGCTGCTTCTCCAGAGTGACTTTCCAGAATACCAGAGCGCAGTCACACATTTTTGCCCTTCCCCTTGGTGTGGCTTGCTGGGAGGCTGTCAAACGGTCAGGCGCCTGCCTACCTGCTCACAACTGGGAGGAAGCAGGCATCACTTTCACAGCTTTCCCTTCCTGACTGCCCCCAACCAACGTCAGGGATTTCAGCTGGGTGAGATACAGGTGGGCCCTCTGGTCTGCCCCCACCCTTCAGCCCAGCTAAAGCCCGGAAACCATTTGAAACCAGGGTCAGCGGAGACCCTGGGCTCCACTTAGGGCCCGGCTGTGAGGGTGTGGCAACAGGTGACCGACCCTGCGCCAGGCAGAGAGGAGAGGGCCCTTTCCACCAGCACTGACAGATGCCTCCCGCCCAGCCAGCCTCTGCAGTTTGCAACAGCAGAATGAGAGACAGACACACCAAGTTTTCAGGAACCAGGAAGTCTGGCATTTATTGTAGAGGGGGGTGTCTTCCTTTTCAACAAAGAATCCTCCTCACCCGTTTTCCCCACCAACAAAGCTTCGGAGCCATCTCCATTCTACGGAGAAGCCCATTTGGTACATGGAAGAAGGGGAAAAAAGTTCTTTAGCTAGTATTTGAGAAGTTGAGGGTGAACCATGTATCCCAGCTCCGCTCCTGGGAGCAGCGCCAACAGCACAAGATGGCCAAGCGGAACGGGGCCCCTCTTCAAAATGGGAGGAACCCAAAAAGGGGGACGGAGGACTCCAGCCGGTGTTCTGGGAAATCAGAGCAGGTATCCTTTTGGCACTCACAGGCGAGTGGTGACAAACCACTGGAAAAGGAAGGACTCAGCAGGGCCCAGGCGGTCACTGTTTTGGTGGGTGCTCCACGTCCTTGGGCCATCCCTACAAGAGCACTGAGTGGGGCCTGCTACGGGGCTACGGACCAGCCAGCAAGTGAAGTGGAAGGCCCACTTTGACCCAAAGTGAAGCAAAAAAGGGGGCCCCTTCCGGAGCAAGCTGAAGAAATGGTTCACCCTTGGACCTCTCTCCCAACCAGAGCGCAAATACATACATCTGGTTATATCCCCCACACCCTTAAAATATGCTCATATACAGAATAGAAAGCACAGTATGTACAACAATACAATACATTTTTTTCATTTCCCCACTCTGTTCAGTAGTCAGTTCCATGACCGTAAAATAAATTTACATGATTTCAGGAATTACCGGCAGGGAGGGAGGGAGGGAGGGAGAAGCCACCTACTTTCTGCCCACCACCCACCCGCCCACTCACCATGCACCCATGGGAGCATTTGGAGAACCTGGAAGATTTCTTCCACCATTCAGGGAAAGAAGCCATTTTCACCCATGTTCAGACTCAGGTGATGCAAAAGGCAGCCGTGCCAATCTCCTGTCCCCCCCAGACACACTCCTTACACAGCTTGCCAACTGCCAAAGCTCACGCTTCCGCAACAAGACGACCAAACACACTTTTGTGATTCACCACAACTCAGAGGTGCAGCCTGGCCACCATTCACCTGGCCTAATACAGGACCTGCTCAGGCGCCAGAGAAAAGCTCTACAGGGAAGTCCCCAACATGTGTCACTAGTTGCCTGCCCCGCCTGTCTGTGTATGTGGCCTCAAAGAGAACAAAAAAATCCCTAGCTGGGGTTTCCCTTTCATGGTTGCCTAGAGGAGACCGTGATCCTCAACAGGGACTAGACAAGTGGCATTTCAAAGCCTGCTGAAGGGACACAGAGAGGCCAATGTGACTACGCTCTCTCAAGAAGAATCTTATTCTTTGCTTCACCTGCCCATTTTTCCTTCCAGAAATGACCAAATGTACCACGAAGACTAAAAATTCCAGCCCAGGAACAAATATTTTAAAAGCCGGTGGCTTAAAAATCAGTCCTGCCCTTGCTTCCCTGCCAAGGCGGGCACAGAGACACCCTCCTTCCAGCTTCCCCCACAAAAGAGTGGGCATCAGTGCAGTGCAGAGCTCGGCTTACAGAGCCATTCCAAGTCACCTTTGCCAGTTATCCACAAATGTGTTGGGAGAGGAAGTTTATACTACCCGCAGCTGTGCCACTTGCAGAGAAACTGGCAGCGGCACAATTATGCAACACACTACGTTGGCTGCTTCACAGCTTACACCCCTGTCTAGTGGAGGACCACTGACATACGGAACCCCCCCCCATCCCTGTGCCAAGACAGAGGCTATGACATAGAGGGATCTCTTGCGGAGCTCTGCCAGACACAAGCCTCCCCCTCCCCCCCTTGGTGCAGGCAGCAGATCTCTGCAGGTTCCTTTGCACCCATGGATGTGAGTGGAGGAGTCCACAAGGAAAAGCCTCCTGCCTGGGGTCAGGACTGGGTACCTGGCAAACAGGCACCAAACACCAATGGTCCTTTCCTACATCGTGTCTGGCAGAAGCAGCTTCCTGGTGCTGCGTGAAATTAAGTTTCAGCAAGGCGGGTGTGTTTGTGTGTGTGTGTGTGTGTGTGAAGCAGCCACTCTGGGGTAAATCTTCCCTCCACGATAACTAGCTGGGTGGCATCAGTGCTCCGTTCTGTTCCTGCTGCTGGGGGCACCACAACCCTGGAGCGTGGTGTCTGGCCCCTCCAAGCCAAGCACGGCAGCCCGAGACATCTCAGCTGAAAGTCAGGCAGAACCTGATTAAAACTGCCTGCTCTCAAAAATTACTGGGCATGGATTTTTTTAACGCTGTTTGGCAGGCAGGCACCACTAGCCTGTGCCACTCGAAAATTAAGTGGTGGAAGAATGAGGCACCCCTCCCAGGCGCCCATCATTCGGATTCTAATTTGCCAAATGCTTCGAGGCAAAAATCATGCTTCCATTTATAAACCAGCCTTCCACTCGAAAATATGTCAGCGAGCTAGCCGATATGGCTCAAAGCACGCTTTTGATTTTCAGTAATTTTCCAGTTCCCCCTTTTCTGCAGAAGCTGCCTTTGACCTGTTTAAAAAAAAACACACACACACACACAAACAATCCCAAATTGAATATGTGATCCTTATCTTCATTTTCGCTCCCAATTGACACACACACACGGGAAAATAGATTCCGAGGCTTCTTGAATAATACATTCGAAGCCCTCCGTGGGAAAGCAGGCTGCTGTGTGCTTGCCCTCTAGTGGGAGCTGAGGCCCTGCTGCTCTAACATTCACACACATTTTTTTTTGATGGAGGGAGGAGAGGGAGAGCAGGTCTTGCAGCACCAAGAGCCCACCTGCACCGCTCCCCAGCGCTCCCAAACAGAGGTTCAGACTTCGGAACTTCACACCTCTACTAAAATGTGGCATCGGCTTCAAAGAGAACACATTTAGCCAAGTAAATTTCATCCATCTTGTGTCCTTAATATCTGCCTGGAAGTGTTTCGACTTCCTCATTCACTGCCTGAGCCAAAAGGAAAGTATCAAACCCCTTGGAATACATCTACATTTATGATTCTTTGGAACTCCTTTAAAACATGCCTCCACTGAGTGGCTGCATGGCCTGCCCAGGGAGAGCAGGCCTGTTTCTGTGTAGTTTTAGGAACTTGGTCTTCTTGCTAACAAGCAAGCAAAAGTGTTAGCTTCAAACCCCACCCCCTTTAAAAATCACGACAGAAACAAGATTTTCCAATTTTACATCTAAAAGAGTGTCAATATGACACTGCCTTACGAATAGAAAATAAAGTATTTACAGCTTTACAGAAGAAAAAAAAAGGTCAACATTATGTCCAGCATTTTCATATATTTTTTTTTCCTGACAAGCTTTAAATCCGGTTGTGACCCGCATACAAAAGGCAAATTTAAGAGAACCAGGGTCTACTTGGACAGCTGTGGGGGCTGGAAAATAAGACGACACAAAAGGTGAACTAACAGGCGTGGGAGCGATTCACTAGCTAGGCTTACGCTCCTATTCAAAAGTTAAGACAAATTTAAGTACTGGTAGCATATAAAACACCAACAACCACCCCCCAACATCCCCTATCACTATCATTCCATTCTACCTTTATGATGCAGGGAACCCTCATCTACACATACCCAAAAAAAGGCCTCCTGCTCCAGGAGTGCCACCTACAGCTACAGGACGGACGGTGGGAAAGGGATCTGCGACCACCAACCCGCTTACGTAACCCCCACAAGACCTACTCCCCCACCCTCCCCCTGCTCCACTCTTTACCTTCGCATGCCAGTCACTAAAAGCAAAAGCACATAATATAACCATGCTTGTGAAAAATAAATGTTTTTAAAAGTATAAAGACGCTTAGCAGCAGTGAAAGAGGACGGCTATTTAAATGGCTTGAGTTCTCTCCTACTGAAGGCTTTCCCCCCAAATTGGGGCTGCTGAGCAATAGCCAGTAGTACCCTCTGACAGACACATAAGTGCACTCGGGCAATGCCAACTTTGGCAGAGGATGCCCTGGCACCTGGAGAAACCATGCAGATTAGAAACTCTGACCTGACAGAAGAGGCCCATGTTCCAACCTTCCACAGGCCACTGCGGCCAATCCTTGACAAACCCCATTTATGGGCATTGAGGGGCATGGCTTGGGCTAGGAAGGGGATGCAAAAAAATCTGCCCTGGAATGAGAGAGTCTGCTCTCCAAACAGGGGAAGGAAGTACTCAGCACAAAAGGTACGTAGCAAGCGTTGAAAAGATCACTACGATACAGAAGACAGCTACGTAACCAGAGATAAGAAACAAGCTGACAGTCTTAAAAAGCAAATGTGGACACGCAAAAAGTCCACTTTGACACTGCACCTCTTCAAGAGAACAGGAGTACTGAGTCTCCCTTCCAAATCTGCAGGCAGCTCTCTGTCTCTACGGCAGAGAGAGTCCAGAAGACCCCGACTCACTGGAAGAGGAGCCCCGTGGTCACATGTCCAGCCCAAGCCCTGGGCATCCCCCCCCCTTCAGCAACCCAACTGCTGTCCACCTGAGGCTGTGCCAGTGACGAGAAGAACAAGACCACCTCCAACTCTGCCCCAGCCTCCCCAGGGTTAATTTGCAGAACGATCTGACAATGTCTCTTCAAGTCACGGGAATACGTTTTGGAGGGAAATACACCTCGGGTTTCGTGCCGGGACTTCAGTTATGCCTCCAGACCTGGCCATTCCTTCTCCCGGCTCGAGAGCCACTGCTTCTGTGGCAGAGCCAACTGAGCAAGGTAGAGAAGAGGCTACCACAGGCCTCCGCCCAGAGAGCTGTTTGGCAAATGGCCTCCTGATGCAGAGGTCAGCTCACAGGAGAGGATACTGACCGGGCTCAGTCACGAGGGCATCTCCAGAGAAGACGCACACTGCTGCTAGCCCTCCGTCTGGGGGAGTCAACCCTGATATGCTGGAATTCTTTGGAAAACCCTGCACCCTACACTGGTTCTCGGTGTATCTGAAGAACAGACACAGACTCTCTAGCGTGCCATGCCTGAAGCCTACATCCAGGGCCGTGCCTCCTGCCAAGGGGCCCGCCTGTCCACGGAGGCCTTGCCAGCCAAGGCTGCTGCCCTTTCACTGTTATTGCTATTGCACGTGCCAAAATCCCACACACACATACGGACACCCCATGAGAAAACAAAGGCAGCCAACCGTGGCCGTGGTCCTGGCAGCCGCTGAGAGCCAGGGGTGCTTCAGACGTGGGCCAGGGACACCCATGAGCTGCTTAATACTGATCCACAGGAGGGGAAGTGAGCTTGTCCTGCAAGAACTGCAGTCACGCTCCAAGTTTATGAAAGCTGCACAAGAGTAGAGCAACTTCAGCATCTTCTTTAGAAAAAAGCACTGATGGCTAAAAGGGGAGGACCCAAAAGAAGCAGAAGGGAAAGAAGTCGCTCAGGAACAGAAGGATCGTGGGAAGTGGCCACTGCAACACACCAGACTCATCCAGAATGAGCTCCACAGACCGCAGTGATGTGCAAAACAGGGGTGGTCAGCTTGCCCTCTGCCAAGAGACACAGAAGCCCAGCAAGGGCCAAACATTCCACGGAAATAAGGCGAGTGCTGTTATTTTTTGCATAGACATTAACAGTGACATTCCCACCCCACCCTGCTTCTCCTCGCGGGCCTTGCCGCCAGGCTGAGCGCTCCTTCTGAATAATTCCGAACTCCGGCAGAACAGTTTTGTACAGGGGTCGCTGGGAAGTCTCCTCCCACGTGCCAGACGCTTTCTAGCAGCCGCAGGCACCGCTAGAAGATCACGATGGAGTGCTGCGAGTGGACGTCGGTAGGTAGATCCGTCAGCATGCCCCCTCTGGGGGGCCCGGCTCCAAAAGTCCCACGCTTCTGCCGTCCACATGTCCCTTTGCTACGGTGTTTTTGTTATTACAAAAAGAATGGTTATATTACAGGGGAGCGCCAAGTGGCTCAGCTTGGGGCAAAGGCACAATTAAAACACCCTATTTTCCTCCTGCAGGACTCCACGTTTGTGATTTGTACAACAATAGAAACGGTTACAGCACCAATCCTCGGATGGGGTGGGAAAGCGCACTAATCTTCAGGAACCCTGGGCCAGGGCTCAGGAGTCTTTGCTGTCTCAGTGTTTCTTAACATAACCCTTCTTCAAAGTTTTTCCCCCCTTCTCCCTTTTGATCTGAGCACTCTGGTTCTTCATCAGCTGACCATCGGCTCTACATCTGCTTCTCTGTCGAACTCATCTTGAATCTCATCTGTGTTTCCTGAGTCACTGCTGGCTAAGGAACTGGGAGACGGGGAGTTTCTGTGGAGAGAGAAGAGGAGGGTTTAGGTGCTCATCATGCATTGGGTGAACAAGCAGGGAGTGGCAGCCAATGCGCTGGTCAGGCTGCCATGGGTGGCAGAGGGCAGGTTAGGAGGTGCACACAGTCTTCTGCGCATGCTTGTGGGCAGAGGCCCCAAGATGAGCTGGGAAACAGCCCTTTGAGGAAGTGCCCCCTTCCCTGCAAGCTTTGGCACGCCAAGGACCTGCCCCCTCCCTTACCTTTCCGCAGAGCCTTTGATGAGCCGGCGGCAGGTCTCCATCTGCACATCCAGGCCCCGCTTCATGCTACACATTTCCATGTACTCGTGGAGGTGGCGATTCATGTCACTCTTGGCCGTCGCCAGCTCCAGCTATGCAAGAGCAGAGGGACAGAGCAGTCAAGTACTGGGTCAGGAGAAGCCTGTCCCGTTTCCCCATCGGGACAACGGTCAACTAACCATTCAGCTGCTAGCTGAAGAAAAAGAATTTGCCCCCTGGAAGCCAGGATTCTACCTGGCAGTTCTGCACAGCTCAAAACACCTGCATACATTTAGGTCTGCACGCAGGGGCAGCACAGCCCTTCAGGATGCACGGAGTAGCCTGGCTCTGGCTTCTTTTCTTGGGGTCACTCTCTACCCACTGCCTTGTCCGCTCAAAAGTCATTCCGTTCCGCAGCTGCCCACACAGCCTCCCCCCTTAAATCAACAACCTCCTTCTCGGGTCTGCAGTCCACCCCTCTACACGGCAGCACCCTCTCCATCAGTCCACGCAGCCTGAGGATGGACCCAGCCGCCTCGGGAACTGTGCCTCAGCACCCTTTGGCCTCTCCTCCGATTTCATTCCTTGGCCATGCTGGCTGCAGTCAGTGTGAATCATGTCCCACAGCACAGCGGCAGGAGGCTGACTGCTACCCTCCAGAGAGGGAGAAACACTTGGTTCCTTACCTCAATCTGCCCAATTGTCTCCTGATATTCTTTGTCTCTTGTTTTGAAGAAAGACTCCGTTTCATGGATCAAGTTGCCCAAGTTCTCCTCGTGCTGAAAGGAAACATTGTGAACAAGTGAGCAAAGGAGGGCAGCTCGTTCAACAGGCCAGACGTGAGTCTCCAGCACAGGGAGCCTGTGTGCAATTAGGTTAGTATAATACGACTACACCAAAGCGCATTGTTCCTGGGCCGGTGTCCACTGAACAGAAAATGAGAAAGAGGCAGACTCGGGACCTGTAGCCATTCCAGAACTTGATGGCTAAGCTGGTAGGAGCTGGTAAGTGTCTTGATCCCACCTAGGGAGCCAGAGGCGTGGAGAAAGTGCAGAGCCAGACAAGAGTAATTTGAGTCAAATAGTTGTTATTCCCAATCTCCATCTACAAGGCAAATCTACCATTTCATTATGTAATTTTCAGTTAGAAGGATTTAAGCCTCTTAAACCTTCAGAGCTGCAGCATGGTAGGTCAGAAGTCTAATACGCCACTGATAGCTGCACTTCTACACACGCACATGGGTTGCATGCAAATAATCTGCCACTAATTCCAGCCCCTTGCTAAACCACTTCAGCCTACTGGAAGGCAAGTTGCTGGATTTTGCAGCCTTAGCACTTTGGAGTATAATCTCTTTGGTAGGCACCATGCAGACAACAGATAATGCTCAGGCTCAGCCGCTTTCCAGTCTCGGAGAACGCTCTTCCCATGGATGCTCCCAGATGAACCTACCCGATGGCTGCTGCCCTCTTCTGAGGTTAAACTGGGTGGGCAAGTCGAGGCGGGCCTTCTTGGAACCCCCCCCCCCCCGGGGCCAGTGACATTTGTCTGTCCCCTTCTGTCTGTCTTCTGCCAGTGGGTGACTCGTTTCCTCTGGTGTTCCCTTGATGATTCCTCTTTTCCTGCTTTGTTTTAATTGCTTTCTTTGAGTTTTATATATGTATTTTAGTCTTAATTGGTTTTATGATCTATTTTCACAAAGCTCTTTTTAATCATCAGCTGCTCCTTTTGGCCAACAGATTGTTAGGTTGCAAAAAGTTCTCAGGATGACACCCGCAAGCTTCCCTGTAGGACCATGTACTACTTCTACCTACAAATTCCAGCGAAGGGTAGAGCCCCTCTTGACAATCAAGACTTCAGAAAAGGTTTTAATTCTAAAGGTTTGGCAACACTCCTCCTTCATCCCTACCCTTAAAATTATGGCTGCTGTCTACAGGAAAGCAAAGGTGAAAATGACACTTCCAACCACTAGCTCCTGTGACCACAGAAGGCCCCACCCTGAAGCACAGTCAATCCAAGATCGACGGCTCTTGGTGTGGGAGTTCAAATTACAAATAATCAGGATGCCCAATATTATTGTGGAAGGTGAGACAAAGTACACAGCACTGACTATTGCCCAAAGAATTGAGGAAATGCAGAAGAGGGAGAAGGGGCTGCTTAAATGTAGTGAACACCATTTCAAACTTGACTGCTCCGTTCGCTCTTTATTGTTTTTTCCCAACACGCTGCCCTGTGCCATCAATTCAAGGCACTGCCCTGCAAAGTCAGACAGCAAAACTAACATATGTCTGTCTTCATCTTTGCAATACAGAGTGTAAACTGATCTTGAAGCCCGCTACAGCCTTGCAGAGAGTCTGGCTTTATCTCACGGTCACCCACAAACCACACCTCCCTTTGTCACCTGGCCCCATGTTAGGAACAGTGAAGTTAGATTACTCCACCCACAAAGCTGAAAGTGACTCTTGAGCAGGCTGCTGTGGACCACACCTTGAGCAGCACAGATCTTCTTAAATTCTTCTTATCTTACTGCTCTTCTGACTCAAAAGGTCTTGAACAGAGATCCAGCCCCATTACAGGCAATCAATGCAGCTAAATATTTAGCAGCGGCTAACATAGTTTTCCACTCCTCATCTACAAAGAACAACTGGACAGTTCTTGGGATGATAATTCACATGAACTATTAAGAGGGAGGACAAATACCTTCTCTCAAAACAGAACAGATATCCCACTCCAATAAAATATGTTCTAAGGACTCAAGCTGACCAGATCCACATTTACAAACTCTGTCTGAATATGCTTTGCTTGTGAATCGGCATTCCAGTATGGCGGAGGGAAAAGAATGTCACTGAGGAAGCATAAAATGCTCTTCTGTAATGAGGGGAGCAGCACCGATCCAAGCTTACCTCTCCCTGGAGCTCAGTCGAGGGGTTGCAGTTGGTGAAGTCTTCCCAGAGAAGCAGGGTGTCCTCGTTCTCTTCCCATGTCAAGCTGTCGCAGTCATCATCAAAATCAAAGGTTTCCCGCCTGTTGGGGAAAAGTTGAAAGCGCTTACAATCTTCCTTCAGAAAAGGTCCTTCCTCAGACTCTGCCAGAGGAGCTAGAAAAGCACGGCCAGTTTTTCCTTCTCCTGCAAAAGAACATTCTGGGCAGATTTAAAATTCTTGTGCCGGAAGCCAGAGTTCAACTTTTCTCCTCCAGATGGTGCTGTATGTTAAAACAAAAACAGCACAGAGCTTTACGCAAAGGATTTAGGCTGGACCCTTTTGCCAAAAAAGGGGGAAATTTTGGCACGTTTCACTTTGTAGAAGGGCAGATCGAAGAGGAACACATGTTCACAAACCACCATTTCTATTTCGACTACCTTGGGCTTCAGGTGCTGCCGTTACCAAATATTAGCTGCTATAAGGCGACCACAAATCTTTGCCCACATCTTTGGATATTCTTACGGACTCAACCCCACCAGCGCTGAAGTCCTTAGGAGACTGAACTGCATTGTACACCCAAACCATGAGGCCTAGAGGCTCGTTTAAGTAAAAACAGAGATGACTGCTGCTCATTGCCCCCTTCCACTAGACTGAAGCATACCTCCTGCACCTATCAGTTTAACGCCAATCAAGTGGATTATGACTGCTCTTCCTCATCACTAACATGTGTTAGTAAGTCAGCACTACCAGGTCATTTCCAGAGAGGTCAAAAAGGCACCCCTTGTATTAGACTAACTAACTTCTGCAGGTCAAAGGAAGACTCTGGTGTGAGCTTCCATGCTCTTCTATCAATACCACCAGGCATTAAAGCCTTCAATTCAGACAAGCAGCATTGCAGGCTGAAGCCCTGAGGACCGCAGCTTCCCTGTAAAGCATCTAGACGCCCACCTGCACTGTCATGGGCGAGTCATATCCACTCTGCAGAGCTCCACAATGAGGCATTTTTGTGTCCTGAGTTCATTTCCTTCCCAGCCAAGCACATATAAAGCAGGAAGTCAAGGTCAACTCAGATCTTATAAGTTCAAAACTTGCCAGAGACTGCTGGAGACAGCTGATCAGTGGCCCAGCAAAAGCTCCAATATGCGGTTCCACTACAGTCAAGCACTCTATGAAGGACCTCCTCGGCTTAAGACTTCCCTGAACCTCAGCTGTGCTTACTCTTCAAACATCACTAATCCAAACCGCCTCTCTAAATACAGTGCAATAATACAGCATTTTAATTAGTTGTTTAAAAAGGATTTGTTTGCACTTACAATGTATTAACTAACCTATTTGTCTACAGCCACAGCTGTTATCCTAAGCCATAAACCAGAAGGTATTTGCAAAGTGCCCCACGAGCCAATGAGGTTAAGCCATGTTTTCAGAAACAGACACACCAGCAGGAGTTCTGGGTAGGTTCACAGAGCTCAGTGTGTGCTTCTTCGTCAGCTATTGTGGCACGATAACCTGCTGCCATGATCTGTGGATGTGCAACACTGCTATTGGGAAGGAAGTCTACAGAGCAAAGCTCATGCTACTGATGCGTCCATACAAGATGCTGAGAGACAGGGCCAGGGCTCGATGCTCTGTGCAAGAGATCTGGCATGAATGACAACAGGAAACAGTCATCCCTGGAGGATCCCTCTGCTAAGCTGGGGAGTGGATGAGTGGCAGAGCGCTTAGTCCCCGTTTCTATTGGGCCAAGCTTTTAAGCACAGGATTTTCCGAGTATTAAGCTAATGCTTCACTAGGGGCCATGATCCAAAGGCAACATGAGCAATAAATGCCAATAAAATGAGCCTTCAGAAAGAGGAGCCAAGCCAAGCCATGGGGCCTTCCAGTAACAGCTATGGAGCACGTAGACACAGAATGTACAGGCTTCCTCCAGGTCCATCTTTTAAAAGTTCCTTTACTGCTTCCTGTTCTCAAAGCGGCCATCAAAAGTATGGGCATGATGCCACCGCCAGGGGCAGCATCCCTTGGCTCTCAAATTTAGATTCTCCCTTCCTGCCCTGACAAGGGCTGCCAAAGCTACTAACAATTTAAAACATATATGAAACATAAAACCATTAAAATAACATCCCCTCCCAAACACACTGCACTAAAACAACTTTCTAAAAAAGAATTAAAGTACACATAAAACAGTTAAAATACATACATAACCTTGGTTAGGAATGCCAAATGAAACAAAAAGACTTCCCCTGCTGGTGGAAGACAGCAACAGAAGGAGACAGACAAATCTCCCCGACTGTCTGTAGCCTGGCCTGAAAAGTGGGCTGGGCTGGCATGGCATCAAGGATCTGGCCACAGGGAAAGGTTAAAAGTGGCTCTGAGTGGCAAAGCCAAGCATACTTTGCCAAGGAACGGCACAGAAAAGGTCTCCCTGCTGTCTTGTAACAATAAATGGGAAAGAGCAGAGCACCAGTTTTTAAGGTCCTGCATTAAGCTAGACGAATGTACAAGAAACAGGCAGGAAAACACTTATGGGTCTCCGTGTACTCCCAATTCTGTGCAAATGCAAAATTTGGTACTGACGCAAGATCTGGAATCCTGAGGGTTGCTTCTGAGGACAGAGCAGAGTGCTTCCGCTCCCAAAGACTGCAGACCTACTCAGAGGTATGTAGGCAATGTCTGATGCAGTCCCAGAGGCCCATGAGGCAGTATTTCCAAGAACCAGGGGGCAGGGCTCCAGGGTCCAAAATGGCTCCTCGCCCATGGTCCCGTGATTAGCAGGCTGTGTGGTGTGTACAAGTTTACTTGATTTGCATCATTTACAATGCAAGACTTCTGCCCTAACAAAGCAAGCCTTCTGGCCAAAGGAGCGCACAGCCTCCTCTCCAAGTAACAAGCGGAAGGATGCAAAGCCTTTCAAATACTTACAGCTGATTAAACATTCTCTTCATTTCATCTGTGATGTTCAGAGAGCAACTGACTTCGTCGTCGGAGAACCTGCCATTGTCCGTGTTCGGCTCAGAGAGGTCATCCTCCAGCGTCAGCTTCCGCTCTTTCTTTTTCGAAGCCACCTTCGTTTGGAGAGAAAGGCAGCGATCAGAGACCCCGAGTGAGCTGAAGGGGCAGCTCGAGAAGGGCAGAGATCAGGCAGGACAGACAGTCGTGGCTCCACAGCCCACCCCCCGTGGGACATTGTGTGTGCCTGGGACAGCTTCACAGCTAGGCTCAGTCGACACCCATTAGGAGATAGGACACAGAGCACAGGAAAGCAGACCGAAACAGCACACAGCAAAGCAAGCTGCCTTGACGGCACAGCTGTTTGGGCCACAGCCCGCCATGCACAGGCCAGGATGACGACGCACAAGCAACTGAAGGTGCTCGGGGTGAGAAAGCCAGAGAGCAACAGGAGCACCTTCGCTCTCTCCTTCCTGGCCTTAACTACCAAGCGGGCTAACAGTGATAAAAGGCTCTAGGCTATGTGCCAGAGGACAGTCCCACTTCTCCACTGCCTCCACCCACATCCAGAAGAAGAGCTAGACTGGAATAGCATCGTACAGAATAAAACTGAAGCGTTTTTGAAGTTCCAAGAAATGTTTCCGATTAAGAGCTACCCCCCCCCCCCCGACCCACCCACCCACACAAAAAAAAAGAAAAAAAGA